GAGAGGGAGTTATTAGATTAAATGCATTCGAAAGTGGATTTCAATCTCTCACACTTACCGTCTCAGGAGCTGTGCAATCACCTCCTTGCTCGTCGTGTCCCACTGAATGCCCAGCGTCTTGTACTCAATGTCGATCTTCAGGCAGTTCGTGTAGACTTTGATTGTGGTCTGTGGAGAGGCGAAAGGGGAAGAGTTTGAGTTAAGAGTGAGTTGGGCCAGGCAAAGCAACTCTGAGTGGGGGCTCACCTGTGGCAGCTGCTCATTGAGGCTCGAGTAGCTGGAGGCGCGCGATGGCGTTCGCTGCATATCGGTGGGCGGCTCCGGACTGCCGCACATGGAGCTGGCGCAGGAGGAGGCGTTGCTCGAGGAACGCAGCGAGAGCGAATCGGAGCGATTGCGCAACGGCGAGATTTGTACGTGTTTCAGCATCTGCAATGGGAGTGATAAAAGAGAGATGTGAGGTGAGATACAGGCGGAACTCAGTCGGCATTAAGTTGACTTAAAGAACTACAGGATCGAAGAACTAATAAATGTGAAAGGTCGTAAGGCACTCTCGTCAAGCAATGGCAGGATAGAGCGGTAAATTATATGTTGAACTAGTTAAAAGAACCACTCGTAGATATAGTTCTTTTTACTAGTTCAGCAGATATTCAAGTGCTACTACATACAGGGAGTATGCTAATTAAATGAACCAGTTATGGGGTACAGAACGATGTGAAGTTAAACTAAATGTTTAGCATATATTTAATGCGTGGGTAGCAACATTATTCAAGTTCTTTAATGAATTAGTTCAAATGAACGAATTGAAAAATCTCAAGAAAAGCAAGAAATCTGTTGCAATTTGTTCAAATGAGTTAACGAGCTTGTTGAAATGAACTAGTTAAGATTACAAAATATTCAATGGGCTTTAATAATTTGATGGGCGTTTAGAGAAACTCGTAGAATGCTAAGTGAGTGTGCCAAAAAATCTGTTCGAGTGACCCAATGAACTAGTTCACACCAGCTGATGAAACAACTTTTCACTGGAACAAGAAGCAATCTAATAACGCATAGCCCCCAAAACTTGTTAAAATGAGCTAACGAACTCATTCCAAAGGGCTTACACTAATTGATGGATTCGTAGAGGCTTAAGAAGAGAAAACAAATTATTCGAGCTCAGTAAGCTGTTGAATGAAGCCAACAAACTGATTTACATGAGCCATTATCGTATTTATAAGCTATTTGTAAAGAACTAGTTCGCAAGAGTATTAGTATCAACTAACACAGTTTGTCAACAATTAGCTTACATAAGGAACTAATTTGTTCTATTTGCGAACTTTGTTAAAATGTTGTTCAGATGCTCCCACACGCACAGAGCGTGTGAGAGAGAGAGAGAGAGGGTGGGAGGGAGGCAGAGTTTGATAAGCCTGATATGTGAATCGAGTCAACTGTCTCAGCGACAGCAATAACAAGTCTCTACCCCATAAGCCAGACAGACATCGTCCTACATTGTATATGCATATATGTATGTATGTATATGTATTTGTATATACTTATATATAGAGCTAAGTCCGAGGCACTCGCTGGGCAGTCGAGCGGCTCTCGACTCTCCACTCTGAGTGACGCGTTGACCCGCGAGTTGGCGTTTCTTTTGCAACATTTGCCGCTAATTGCTTGGCGAGGGCGAGTGGGCATGCGAGAGGCTGAGCTGCTGGCGGGCACACTGTATTTCATGTCACACACTGCCACGCCTCTGCCTCGCAGCCTGCCGCCCCCATCCCTCTGCTGTGCGTGCAACTTGTCTCGTATCGCATTGCATTGCTTGAGTGCCCGCTTCGTTTTTTTTCCGCGCTTTGGTTCACTTGCTGCTCCACTTGGCCATTTGGCTGGCAGCGGGTGGGTGGTCGGGGGGCGTGGCTGGCTGGCCATATACATATATATGCATAAGTATGTATATATGAATTAATTGTGTGAAAGATGCGCAATAGTTATTTAACTTTGCTTCTGCCCTCCCACTCTCCCTTCTCTTTCTCACTCTCTCTCTTTCTCCCTTTGCAACTAAAGTTGATGCAATTTTAATTAATGCAGAGTCCAGCGCCTTCTGTTTGATTAATGCATCGAAATTGATGCAATACTCAGAATTTTATTATATATATACATATTATATTGTATGCCATATGCTACGTTCTCATCGCATCAATTAGCAGACGCCTACACACAGAGAGGAGGCGAGGGAGAGGGTGTGCTGTGTGAGGTGGAAGCTGAGAGGGCAGCGCCGGATGTTGTTGGCCCGTTGGCAACTTCCGTTTAACACGGGCATTTACAATACGGCACGCCTCGCTCTTGCATTCAATCAGCACTTCAGCCAGCCCTCATGTATTTAGCACAGCTCTATAGACCAAGCCCTAGACAGTGGGGTCTAGCTGCACTCCCCACCCCAAGACTCCCGCTCGACACACACACGCGTCGTCTTTCCCTCTCCCGCCCTCTCTCTCTCTCTCTCTCTCTCTCTCTATTCGCTTTCATGGCTCATTGTCAATGCTTCGCGTTCCATGACGTGCCCAGCCGTGCCCTTTTCATAATTTCAATACATCACCAATTCAGGCACCCGCACACACTCACATTGAGAGAGACAGAGAGAGAGGGAGAGGGTATGCTCGTTCAGCTGAGGGCTCTTCAGTGCGTTCTCCTGCTCGTTGCATGCTTCACTGCCGCAGCATTTGTCAAGCAGCAGCGATTTTTAACCCTGTCGACAAAGCACCTCTACCTCTCTACCTCTCTCTCTCTCTCCCACTCCCTCTGCCCCGCCCCCTGCTATCAGGGTTGGAGCCTCTGCCTAAGTGTACCCACATTTGCCTGCCTCAGAATTCATTTCGATGAGCCGGATGTTGCAACTTCATTAGCGATTTACAGTTGGGCAAGCTCAGCTCAAACAGTTTGACAAGCATTGCGCACACAAATTGAAATATTTGGCATGCAAACGAGAAAACATACCACATATATAGGGAGAGTACGAGAGCCTAAGTTGTGGACAGTTTGAGGTAGTTGGGGTAGCTGGCAGAGGCAGCGGCAGAGGCAGAGCAGCAGCAGCAGCGGCAAATTGAAATGCAAATCAAATAAATTAATTTTTCACACAAGTCGCAAAAGCTAACAAAATAATAAAAATAGAATGTCAGATATTAAGCAAACTGACTGGGGGATGCTCTATAAGGAATTGTCTAACTAG